CGTCGTCTTTGGGGGGGTGTGGGGGTGAGGGAGATCTGAGAGAAGCTGGGTGTTGGTCACATCTTGGCATAGCTGGTCTCTGTTCCCGACAGGACAGGTGTCTGTGGCATGGAAATGTCTGGTGTTTCTTGTACCTGGTTAGGGTGTTGGCAGAACAGAGGACAAAGTTAAATTGAGAGAAAATTTTAGGACCAGGGAATTGAGAGGTTTGTATCTGACCTGTTTACGGTGGGTTCTTTAATTTGGCTCCCTGGAACTTATAAGAAAAACAGAAGTTTTATATATATATGTATATATATATATATATATATATATATATTGTATTAAGAACTCCTTGGGTTTATAAAAACAGAAATTATAATGAAAAGTATTTTTATTTGGTGAGACAACCTGTCAAAACCTCTTAGCTATCAGACTGTCAGAGATCTTTGAGAAGGATAAGATTTTACTTGAGTTACTGATTAAAAAATGACTTACTTGGTTGGCACCCAGAGCTACTCTTTGGTCCTCCCTGGTCGCTGAAGGTTGCATTTGACCTTTGTTGTTTAATGTAGAGCTGCCAGGCTTTTGAAGACTCTGTGGACTAAGAAATCTTTAGGAAGACAGGTCTACCTTACCTGCGCAGCTAGACTGTCGATTCCAGTGATTTTGTCCACGTTTGGAGGTCTCCAGTTTAGGTGAAAGGCAGTTTTTGCCCAATGGTCAGTGCTTGGCAGTCGAAGCAAACTGCAGATGGACGGTGGTCAGTGATGTGACCGTTTGTCTTGTCTTCTTGGAGGAAACAGAGTGTTTGCTAGGAGCCAACCTGTCTCTTTTGGTTATGAAAAGTTTTTTAAATAATTAAACAATTAATATCGCATTCCCCAGATCTCTGAGCAGTTGAGGGCTGATTATTAGGTATAGCTGCGGTATAGACTCTGTTTGGAAGATTGGGTTTGAGTTTGACTGTAATAGGTAAGATCCGCATTTGTAAAAAGACAGACAGAAAAAAAAAACTGTTTGTAACATTAAGATTAAAAGTACATACCAGTTTATGATTTTGTAGTCTGAAACGAGATGAAATGAACAATCATTATACATAGAGAACAGGAATTAGGCAAAGTGTATGTTTTTGATGGGCCCTATCAGAAAGCACGTCACTATGCAAAACACCTGTAATTATAGCTAAGGAGAGATTTTAGTGAACACTGAGGAGGGGGAGGGGAAAGGCAAGACATACATAAGAATGAGAAAGCTTGGTCGTGTGATCTGGCTCTTAGTGAATCTAGCGATAAAGTCACCTGACCCCAATGAAAATGGCGGCGGCCACGTGTTGTGGCTTGAATGGAAAGACCGCGGGAATTTTAAAAGCCGGGGACCGCCTGGTTGTTATCCAGAGTCTGAATCGTGAAAAACCCGCATAAACAGACAATTTAAGGCATATTTAGGCTGGTACAACTTGTTTTCCCAGGTCAAGACCGTGAAAAACCCGCAAAAAAGAACCGTGGCATCTCGAGCCTATGGGGAACGGAGGTGAGATGCAAATCGACCCCCAGGACACGTTGGGGGAGCGTCCTCCATCCACATGTGGGGGGTATAGGCCGAACCGGATCAGCCAATTACGTCTGCGAGAAAGGTTGGAAGGAAGAAAAGGTTGGAATAAAGAGAAAGAAGCCAGGGAACCCCGGGTTCCCAGGTGCGGGAATGTACGGACTTTAACAGAGGACACAAGCCATAATGGATGCCAGGACGGGGCGAGAAGTGCCCCTCCCCGAGCCTAGAAGCACCAGGAGGACCGGTCAAATCCTGGGTTAAAAGGCTCAGATAAGCTGGCTGGAGTGAGGAATCTTACAATTAGAAGCCGGTGTTGTTTGTAGAAATGTGGTCCAGGCAGTTGGCGGGGTTGAGAAGTCCTCGGTCCGATTCAATCCCGGAAGTTGGCGGTCAGAGTCCCGTGGAACTCTGGCCTTTGGCGGGTGAATCTCTCGAGTCACGGGGCACCAATTTTGTTCTTTTAAAAATATATGATAATGGAATGGCCCCCTCTTAAAGTGATAGCAAAGACTAACAGATATTATGTCTTGTTGACTATGTCCTTCACTTTACAGAAGCTTCTCAGTTTCGGAGATCTTTTTTATTAATTGTTTCTCTCAAAGTCTGTGGCACTGG